ACGGTTTCGCGCGCTCTCGCCTTGACGCCGGCTGAATTTCTTTGAAAACGAGGCTCCCGCGCGAGCGTTGGCTTGAGTGTAAATGTGGGCCCTTGGAGGCCCGGCCACAACGACGACGGCTCCCGCTCGATACTTCATTCTTTACCCCGAGACACCCTGGCCAGAGAGGCCCCCGAACTCAGGAACGGCGCTCTCGCTCAAGACTTCCTCGCAATTCAGTCAAGTTGGCGAGGGCCCAGCCACGACGACGAGGGCTCCTGCTCGATACTTCCTCGCGATTTACTCCGAGAGCCCCTGGCTAGGAAGGCACCCGAACTCAGGAACGGCGGTGACGCTCGAGAGTTTCCCGTGATTTTGTCAAATTGGTGGATGCCCAACTACGACGACAAAGGCTCTCGTTCGATACCTCCTTTGGATGTATTCGCAAAGGCCCTTGCCAGAGAGGCCCCCGAACTCAAGAGTGGCGCTCTCGCTCGAGACACTCGTAATTCAGTCAAGTTGGTGGAGGCCCAGACACCACGACAAGAGTTCTCGCTCGATCTTTCGCCATATGTATTCCGAGAGCCCCCGTCAGGAACGACGGCGCTCTCGCTCGAGAGCTCCTCGCACTTCAGTCAGTGGCCGACAAGGAAAAGATTCCCCCCGAAAGGGGTACAATCGAGGACGAAGTGGGCGGGTATCGAGGGTCGGGGTATACAGGATGCAAGACACGCGCGCCAGTAAGACCGAGCAGTCTTAAAATATTGCTGTCGCTGAGGAGTCACGCTCTCGCTTTGGTTTTTCTCACGATTTACTTTGGAACCGCGCTATCGCTTGAGACGTCATCGCGATTCATGCACGACCCACGCTTCAGCAACCCGCCTGCTCGACCTGGTCGCCTGGGCCCGCCTGCCCGAGCTGCCCGCGATGGGTCTGCGTTCTACCACTGGTTTTCTGCTCTTTGCCCCCCTCCTGCTAAATTTTCTCGTGCTTCATTATTATCCCTCCCCCGTCCACCCGTCTTCTCTTCCCTTGTTTTAGGGGCTGCCCTAAGTGCACGTGGCAGGTAAGAAAGATATACACCCAAGGGGGTACGTTCGAAGAAGACGAGGACGGGTACCGAGGGCTTGGGGTATTCGTATTGGTTGGAACGGAAGCAGACAGAAGCGAACAAGTTTTAAATGATTGTTACATACTCACGGCTGAAGGATAATGTTTGCTGGTCCCCCCTCCGGTGACCATTGTCGTTTTCAATTGGAGTGCTTCCCCCGGGGCTCGCACACTGTTTTTTTTCATCAGGGAAAGCCACTCGGCTCAAACTGTGCCCCTGGCCCCCGGGTTACAACAACAACGATTCCCGCTTCAGATTCCTTCACAATTCAGCCAGGACGCCCACTGCCGTACGAGACGTCCTCGTATTTTATTCAGGAACCGCGCTCTCGCTCGGGATTTCTTTACCATTTATTCAGGAATCGCTCTCTCGTCGCTCTGGAGTCGCGCTCTCGCTTGAGACTTGCTTGCGATTTACTCAAGAATCGCGCCCTTGCGTTGGAATCCCCCGCAGTTTACTAAAGCGCCGCGCTCCCGACACGCAGGCGCCCAGGAGTCGCGCTCACGCTCGGGACTTCCTCGCAGCTTATTTAGGAATCGGGATCTCGCTGCCATTCGTGACCCCGTTGCTGCCATTCGTGGCCCCATCGCTGCCCTTCTTGGCCCCCGTTGCACCCCTTCGTGGCCCCCTCGCTGCCCTTCGCGGCCCCGTTGCAGCCCTTCGTGGCCCCCCCGCTGCCCTTCGTGGCCCCCGTTGCACCCCTTCGTGGCCTCCTCGCTGCCCTTCGTGGCACCGTTGCAGCCCTTCGTGGCCCCCTCGCTGCTTTTCGCGGCCCCGTGGCAGCCTTTCGTGGCCCCCTCGCTGCCCTGCGTGGCCCCGTTGCAGCCCTTCGTGGCCTCTTCTCTGCCCTTCGCGGTCCCGTTGCAGCCCTTCGTGGCCCCCTCGTTGCCCTTCGCGGCCCCGTAGCAGCCCTTCGTGGCCCCTTTCGCTGCCCTGCGTGGCCCCGCTGGAGGCCTTTGTGTTCCCCTCTCTGCCCTTCGTGGCGCCAAATGTATATGCCCTTCGTGGCCCCATATGCATGCCCTTCGTGGCCCCGCTGTCGCCCTTCGTGGCCCCTTTCGGTGCCCTTTGTGGCACCGTTTCTGTCCTCAGCGGCCCCGTCCTTGCCCTCTGCGGCCCAATATGCGAGTGCCCTTCGTGGCCCCCGCTCGTTCGCGCCCGTCGTGGCCCCATATGCATGCCCTTCGTGGCCCTGCTTTCGCCCTTCGTGGGCCCCTCGCTGTCCTACGTGGCCCCGTTGCTACCCTACCCTCAGTGGCCCCGTCGTTGCCTTCTGTGGCCCCGCATTATCTGCCCTTCGTGGCCCCCGCTCGTTCGCGCCCGTCGTGGCCCCATATGCATGCCCTTCGTGGCCCTGCTTTCGCCCTTCGTGGCCCCCTGCCCTTCGTGGCCCCGCTGTCGCTCTCGCTTTCGCTCGTCGCCGTCGTCGCCGTCGTCGCCGCCGTCGTCGCCGTCGTCGTCGTCGTCGTCGTCGTCGTCGTCGTCGTCGTCGTCGTCGTCATGGTCGGTCCCCTGTCCGTCCCTCTTTGGGTCGGGCTGCCGCCGATCAGCGCTGCCGCTGGCCAGGGGCGACGCTCCGCGGTCGCCGCGCCGCTTGCCGGGCCCGGCCTGCAGAGAAGAAAGCGCTACCCCCCAAATGGGGCACGATCGAAGCCGAAGAGGGCGGGTATCGAGGGTTGGGGAAATACACTCGGGTCGGGCGAAAGGGGGGGGTTGGGAAAGGGGGGGTTACGAAATCTGCTACATTTAGCTGGCTTCGGCCCCACCGAGGGGCCCAGTCCTCGATACATAAGCCGCCTCCGGCGCCGGGAGGCGCCGGGAAAATCAGCTGCGCGAGCTGATTCTCAAACCCCCCCTTTGCTATCCCCCCCTTTCGCTCGGCCCGATACACGCTGAATGCCCCCCCGCAAAGAGAAATAATCCCCCCAAGCGGGGTGTGATCGAAGACAAAAGGGCGGGGGGTGTGGGGAGTTTGTTTTGAATGACGCGGGCAAGTAAGAGCGAACAGTCGTATAATAATTGTTGTTGTTGTTGTTGTTGCTGTTGTTGTTGTTGTTGTTGTTGTTGTTGTTGTTGTTGTTGTTGTTGTTGTTGTTGTGAACAAGGTGGGTTTGGAGGTCGTCCCCCCGGCAACCAACAACCCAGCACCCCCCCCCTCCCGAACGGCATTTGGTACCCTCCGTGGGGTGGGTTACGCCCCGTCCAGGGGGAGTGCTTCCAACCCTATATGAATCCAACCGGGGCCGAAACCAGCCCTACCAGTGTTGTCCCAAACCCAGTAGGAATCCCACCAGAGTTTCATCAAACCTCTAAGGCTTTATACGGGTCCTACCAGAGCAGTACCCGTCCCTAGATGGGGACCTACCAGAGCTGTGCCCAACACTGTATGGGGCCCAACTGGAGCCCATACAGGCCGTATGGGTGTTGCGCGGGTTCCAATACAGGCCGCGTGGGATTTGTGTGGGGTCCCATACAGGCCGTGTGGGATTTGTGTGGGATCCTATACATGGCGCATGGGATCTGTATCGGTTCCCATACAACGCCGTATGGGATTTGTGCGGGATTTCATACAGGCCGTATGGGATTTGTGTGGGATCCCATACAAGGCGCATGGGACCTGCATCGGGTCCCATACAGGCCGCGTGCGAACTGTATCGGGTCCCATACAGTCTGGATGGGATACGTGTGGGATCGCATTCAGCCCGTATTGGATCTGTTTCGGATCCCATATCGGTTGTATGGGATCTTTGCGGGATCCCCTATAGGGCAGTTTGGGTTCTGTGCGGGATCCCATACAGGCCGTATGGGATCTGTATCGGACCCCATACAGGTCGTGTTGGATATGTGCGGGATCCCATGCTGGCCGTATGGGACTTGCGGGATCCAACACAGGCCGTGTGGGATCTGTATCGGATCCCCAACAAACCGCATGGGAGCCGTGTGGAATCCCATACAGGCCGTATTGGATGTGACCATTACCTCTATTAGGCCGCATGGGATCTCTATAGGCTTCTACAGGCCCCATGGCTCTATGCCCTATGGGATCTTTTCTTTTTAGTAAGGCCTTGCAAGATCTCTCTCTGTAGGTTCTTTCTATTGGGATCCAATAGGAATTTCTATGGGGTTTCAAAAGGGGCTCCAGGTGGATCATATAAGGATTTCTGCAGGGTCTTTGTGTATAGGCCTTCTTAAGGAACCTTGTAGAGACCGACATCGGCTATCTATAGGGCTCCTAAGATACGCTACAAGGATCCCTCTAGGGTTTCTATTGGATTCTAAAAGGACCTTACAGGAATCCTATAGTCCCTTCAGGGTTTCGGTAGGGGCTCTACAGGGACCCTGTAGACCGTGTAGGGTTTCCATAGGTGCCCTATAGGGATCCTTTAGGCCCTCGCAGGGTCTCCACAGCTATCCTATAGGGACCCCGTTTCGGAGCTTCTCCGGAGCAAATATCGGAATCCGCTTCGGGTTACGTAAGGAGAGCATGTTTTGTTTGTTTTCGTTGTGTTGTTCGGTTCCTGGGTTGATGTGGGGTGGGGTTGCTAGCCACGCGTCCTTGTGTTCCGCCTTGAGTACTAGGGACAAAGCGGTTACAGCGAGCGCACGGGACGCGTCCTTCATGGCCGCCTTGACATTGCTGTTGTTGTCGTTGCCGTTGTCATTGACGTTGTCGTGGTTGTTGTTGTTGCTTCTGAAGTTTCTGTTGTATCACGCAGTGTGCGTGTCCGCCAGCGGTGTCTTAGCAGGAGCGAGAGCATCAGGACGCGGCCGACGACGACGACGCCGAAAACGGCGACGGCGATGGCGACGGCGGCAGCGACGGCGGCGACGGCGGCTGCGACGACGGCGGCGATGACGACGACGGCGCGCAGCGACGACGGCGCCTGGCAACGCCCGGCGATGGCGGGAGGCCCCCGCGCGCCCGCCCCTCGCCGACCGCGGCGGCGCTGCTGCCGGCGGCGCTGCTGGCGCTGGCCTTGGCGCTGGGAGGCGCCCGTTGCTTGGCGTGTTCGTTGCGGCGGCGCGGCCATGTCGAGAATTCTCTCACGCGCTCAGGGCATTCAGCAGGCATGCGTTCCGCAGGCATGTTGGCCCAGAGCGTATATCTCGCGAGGTTACTTTTGGACTGGCAGAGCCCAGGGAACCTCAGATTTTCAGCAAGACGAATGCACCCCTCATCATCACCATCGCCATCGTCATCATCATGACCGTCGTCATCATCATCGTCATCATCATCATCATCATGATGGTCATCATCATCATCATCATCATAGCCCATTTTGGCTCAGGCTGTTGCTTGTCCGTGGGCTATCGCGGAACGTTTGCTTCTTGCACTGTGTTGTTCTCTTTTCGGTTGATGGTCTCGGTCGCCCGCCTTCAGTGGTTTTCTGATCAGATTTTGCTTGGTCGGGAGGTGATCGTGAGTTTATCTTACAACGCTGATTTGCTACTTGAGAAGATAAAGTTCGTTCTACCGCGCCAGGGAGTCCCTGCAGGTGCTCCGTTCCGTCCTTGTGTTCTCAATGCTCTTGCTTCGATTCAGGGGGCGATGGATGGTTGTTGCGTGACAGACAAAGGTCATAAGTCTTCAAATGGAGCCACTGTTGTCGAGTTTTGGATTCGACAGGTGGCTGCTGAGCCACTCACTGGTGGCGATACCGATGACAGTGATGGAGGCGGGCATTTTCCACACAATCATGGTCAACATGGGCCGCGTCGCGATCGCAGCGGCGGCAACGGCCATGGAGGTGGCCCCGGAGCCGGCGACGGCACGTCTTCTCCTCCGCCGCCGAAGAAGCTTAAGCCCAGTCCTACCCACCGTACTTGTAGTTCTTCCTCCGCGTTGCCAGGTGTTCCGGCGTTCCCTATTCTCCGGAGGTTCGATTCGCGCTCCTTGGAACGCCGTCGGGCAACGAGGTCTGGAGCCCTCATTGTCTCCCAAACTATTTCTGATCGCGGAGTGAACATGTATGTTGAAGATGTTTGTTCTAGAGCGTGTCTCTCAGCGCAGGACCGGCGCGAACGTGAGGCGATGAATACTTGTGACAAAGCGTGTTCTCTCACAAACGAGGTCTGGCGGTGCCGTGACCAGTGTCGGTTATTATTGCGTGCGTCCTCTTTCAAGGCGGCCGCTGCTCTAGCGGTGAGCCTCTATGAACCCAAGTTGCGCGATGCTCAGCTTTCTCGCGGACTACTCGCGCGCCCGCTTTCGTGGGAAGATGTCAATTCTGTCTCTGGCATCAATCGCGGCTGCTGGCGCACAATGTATGGTGAAGTTTGCTCCCGTTGCTTCAATGGCCCACGGGACCCTCGTTTCAAGTCGCTCGAGATGTTGGAAATGATTTCTCTATTATCGGCAGAATTAAATCAGTGGGTCAATAACACGCGGGTCCATGCGGATTGCTCGCGCCTATCTATGGTGTCGTTTGTTGCTCTGGGTCCCTGCTCATATTTGGAAGGTTCTTCCATCAATGGGGTGTTGCTTCAATCAATGGGCTTGTTGTTTCACTCAATGGGTTGCTGCTTCAAGCAGTCAATGGGACGATGCTTCAATCAATGGGTTGGTGCTTCAATCAACCAGCTGTTTTTTTTCCTTGTTTTTTTTTCAATGGGTTGTTGATTCCATCAGGCATTCAATCAATGGGATGCTGCTTCCATCCGCAATGTTTTCTATATGTTTGGGATGATGCTTCAACTAATGTGTCGTTGCTTCAATATGTTGTTCGTTTCTTCATTATTTCCATCTTTGGGTTGTTGCGTATTTCTTCGTTGGGTGTTGCTTCTATGTGTGTGTGTGTGTTCTTTGGTTGTTTCCTCTGGCTTCCGCCGTTCCGCCGTATCGGCTGGGGGTGGTGGTGCCTGGGTCTCCGAGCTGGCTCTGTTCCCTCCTGCCCTCTTTTGGTTTGCTTTTGGCTCCTTTCCCCCTTGCTCCTTGCTTCGGCCTGCCTTGCCCCGCCTTGGGGCTGCGGGTCTTTCGCCGGTGTGAAATAAGAGTCTTCGGCACCCTTCATCAATTATCGAAACCTGCCTTGGGGAAACCAAGCACGCGCGGAGAAACAAATCATCATCAGCATCATCACCATCGCCATCATCACCATCATCATCACCATCACCATCACCATCATCATCTGCATAGCGCACTTGGGCTCAGACCGCATCCCAGCAACGCAGCAGGAAAGTGCTCGTCCGATCTCCCTTTTTCGGGCGCGCACCCTCCCTCGAGGCGCCCGGCGGGGCGCAGCCGCCTCGAGGGCCCACGGCGCATGGCTGGGGCATGCGAGTGTCGGGGCCTGGTCGACTCTTTCGTCACAGCCCGCTGTCGCTGATCTCGGCGGGCCGTTGCCGCGAGGTGGCGCATGAGCTCGGCGCGGATGCTGCCGCGCTACCTGGCACGCGCATCAGGAGCTGGGCGGGCCGACAGTATCAGGTGGAGGGGCTTGGCGGCGGGCGCTCTGCGATAAATTTCGGGTGGGCGGCACCAGCGTAGACAAATCGTCGACAGGCTGCGCGGTCAAACTGGGGCGACAGTTCAGACTTAAGGACGCGGTGGGCATCTTCACCCCTCCCGAGGCGATCCAGGGCAGAGCAGGAGCTGCTCGAGTGAAGAGCGGCAACTTCGACGTTACGCTTGTTGTCGGCTGTCCACCACCCACGGGCGCGACTGGAAAGAATATCGTTGTGCATGAGGCGTCGGTGAAGGCGACGCGCCAGCGGATCGACGACATCGTTGAGGGCACTCGGGCACGCTCGCTACTGGCTGTTGGCATGGGCGTTGGACGTGGACAGTGGCTTCGGCGAGCCCAGTGATGGCGCTCCTGTGGCACAGGAACACGCGAGAGAGCACGACCGAGCGAATCAGCATATTTCTGGCGATCAGGCGGAGCCGCTGTGCCATGCTCGAAATTTGCGTTGGGCCCACATTCTTCGGTACCGATGGGATTGTCTGCAATCGACCACTGGTTCATGCCAGAGGCTGCGCTGGGGAACGTCTCCGAATGCAAGGTGGGCTACCATCACGGTCGTCGGCCACAACTCATTCCAGATCGTCGGCCTCGAGATCGCATGCCGCTTCTGCTCGTGCTGGACTACGTTCTGGAAATGCGAGATGGAGTTTCGGCCACGGTGGACACTAACCTACTCGAGTGGGACCGTCAACGGTTATCGGAGGCTCTGAAAAACAGGGGTAGGGGCGTGATTTGTAACTGCAGTTTGATGATCGATCGGTTCAAGCATCGTGATAACGAGTTCACATCCCTGCGCGATGATAGACGAGCCGACGAGCATTGGAGTCCGGCGATGCAGCCTATTCAGGAAGTTGGTCAGATGCCTGTCAACAAAAATCACCCACCTCGAGAGACACAACACGGCAGAGGCGCGGTTGCAAGTTGAGAGGCGACGGTTTGTGAGGCGTCGCGCTGAAGAGAGAGAGAGAGAGAGAGAGAGAGAGAGGGAGAGAGAGAGAGAGAGAGAGAGAGAGAGAGAGAGAGAGAGAAAAAGAGAGAGAGAGAGAGAAAGGACTATAAACAAACACAAAGATAACAAACCAACAAGTGAGAGAGCGAGTAGCTGAACTCGGCCCACGGGCTTCGGACTCAATTTGTTATTGGTGACGACGGGCAGCTGGATCCTATCATGAGGCCCACTAAGCAGCTTCGACACTGGGCTCGACGACGACGCGCTGAACGTCGTCTTTCAGCGGGGACGGGCTTAGAGATGGCTGACAAGTTGGGGCGCGCATTCGAGATGCACCATGCCGCTCGCGATGCATCGGGCCTGCGTCGGGTCGACGCGACGGCGGCAGCGTCTCACGACGCCTGAGTCACGACCGTCGGCGCAGACAGTCGAAACGCACATGGCGAAGCCGAGCGCGGAGGGGGGCGCGTCTGCATACAGAGTTGATCGAGGCGAACTCTATCGCCGACGCGGCGCCGCTGCTGCTGCTGTCTGCGAGAGGAGCAACTACCTTGGCGGGCTAGCTGGACTCGACCTCAGCCGCGCTAGATGGGCCATGGGAATAAGCCGGAAGCGCAGAGGATCGGCGCGGTGATCGCCCTTTCGATATCTTACTCTGTTGTCTCGAGCCTGGGCATTGCACTGCGGCGAGGCGACCGCCAAGAGGACTGGGGCAGCCGACGATCGAGGAGGTGGCGCGACTTCGCCGCAGCTGCAGGCTGGAGGTGCAGGAAGCGCTGCTTCACGCTCGACTTGCCGATCGAGCCCCCGCGGCTGCGCGCTGGCCCTTCGGCTTCGAGTTCGATTGCTTACCCGCGCATTACAGGCGCGCGCGGGAGGGGCGCTCACCTCGCCCAGCCCCGCGCATCGTTCGCCACGCCTGCTGCGCCGGCTTCCGCAGGCGGGGCCAAGGGCACGGAGGGCGACGCCGACGGGGGCCGCCGCGTCAGGCAGAGCCAAGAAAGAGGCAAAGACAAGAAGCTCAAGGGCGTCAACGACCAAGGGTTTCGTCGGCTCCTGGCCGCGATGGCCAGCCAGCTCCTGAAGGTCGCGCAGGGGATGCGCGTGCTCGGAAGATGCCATTCCGGCGCTTTTCTTTGCCGGTCCGACGGGGTCGAGGCGGCGCAGACGACGGGGCAGGCGCGCAACTACTACTCGGAGGCTGCAAAGAAGGGGGGGGGGCGGCCGCGCTCGCGGAGCCCCCCATGCATCTGGGCGCTCGCGGGGCTGATCGCGGGATTGAAAGGGGCCAGGCGATGCCGCGGGCGGCCAGAACGCCGAGGCGATTCAGGTGATCTGGGAGTGGCCCGACGCCGCTCAGTCGAGGACAAGATGGAGACGAGCGACAGCGAGACAGAAGAGGGTCACTTTCGCGCTGCGCGACGAGCGGCGGCGCCAGACGGCGATCCATAGCTGCGTTCAGGCGGGGGTGAATCGCAAGCAGGGGGCATCCCCCGCGCCCTTTATGGAGCGCGAGCTGCAGCGGTGCGCCGCGCAGCTGGCGCACTTCGACGGGCGCGAGAGCCAGCAGAAGCTGA